TCATGCTGTGGCCAATCACAAAAACAAAAAAAAAAAAAAAAACCCTGAATGAATCAATGTCATTCAGGTAAATGCTTGCTTATAGCAAAGTAATTCTTTGCTATAAGCAAATTGTGTAAAAAAAAAAAAAAAAAAAAAAATACTGATCACTTCCCCAAAGTAGTACAATGTTACTATGGTAACATTGTACTACTTTGGTCACAGTAAAATATGTAAAAGAAAATCTTTAAAAAAAATTAAAAAAATGTAATAAAAAATTAAAAATAATAAAAATAAAAAAAAATAAAAATATATATATATATTTTTTTTTTCATACTGTCACCAGTCAGTGTCCCTGTTCACTGCCATGCCAGTTATATGATGACGCTGTACTGCACTGGTGACAGTATGTAAAAAAAAAAAATTGTGAAAATAATTTTTTTAATATTTTTTCATTTTCCGAAAAATTATGACAAAAAAAATACAACTTCAAAAAACTCGCCATGCCTCTTATGAAGTACGTCGGACTGTCTACTCTGCAAAAAGGGGACATTTGGGGATATCTGTACTATTCTGACTTTCTTGGACCTCAAGAATTAGATTGGCTGTCAGTACTTCAGGATTGATCAATATTCAGATCTATACCATAGTTTGTGAACTCTATAACACTTTCCTACAAACTAAATAATACATCCTAATTTGGGTTATTTTCACCAAAGACATGTAGCAGAATACATCTCGGCCTAAATTTATGAAGAACAATTATTTATTTGTAAACTTTTATAACAGAAACAAAGAAAAACGTGTTTTTTTTTTTTTTCAAAATTTTTGGTCTTTTTTTGTTAATTTAGCCAAAAATAAAAACCACAGCGGTGATTAAATACCACCAAAAGAAAGCTCTAGTTGTGTGAAGAAAATGATAAAATTTTAGTTTGGGTACAATGTTGTATGACCACGCAATTGTCATTCAAAATGTGAGAGCGCTGAAACCTGAAAACTGGCCTGGGCAGGAAGGGGAAAATTTCCCGGTATTGAAATGGTTAAACCCTTAACGCTGGTGCCTCCCAGACCTTTAAGAGGTTTCTGATGCCCGAGGGGGGTTTCTGATAATATGACCACTAAATTGGCTGTCACAGCAGTCATATGATTGGAAAGCTCCCAATCGCAAGTAGAGATCAGGAGCTTTCCAATAGTGTGAAGAGCATGCATGGCGTGCACTCTTGGCACAGCTCTATTTACATCCTGGTACGCATGTATACGGCCTCTCAGTGTTAAGGTCCCCCTGCCGAGAGGCTGCATATATGAGTACCAGAGACACGAAGAGGTTAACGAGAACATCCATTCTATGAATTAATTAGTATGAATTCAAGTTTACTTTCTTTGTCATCATACAAATTGTGGCTTTGCTCATCATTTGCCTGTTAATTCTCACAGAATCATATAGAAGTATTCTAGTATCTGATGAAATGCTTGTTTAGTGTCACAGACTCAGTAAGTATCAAAGCTAGTGGCAACCAGGCAACTAGCATTGTCAGAAGGAGGCTAGCAATGGCTGCTCACATGGTACTTTCCGTACAGGTTTCCTTTAACTAAACTTTGTTAGAAAAAATTTTAGCTAGCATGCCTTTTAATATTAGCCACAGCAAAAAACAGTTCCATTGACATTAAAGTGGTTGTAAGTAAAGGCTTATTCTTTTTTTTTTAAGAAAAAAATAACAAACATGTCTACACTTACCTGCTGTGTGCAGTTGTTTTGCACAGAGCAGCCTGGATCCTCCTCTTCTCAGGTCCTCTGCAAGCTCTCCTGGCCCTCCCTCCTGTTGGATGCCGGCACAGCAAGCAGCTTGCTATGGGACACCCGCTGCTCCATGTGCTCATTCACACATGGAGCCACGGCTCAGCCCTGCCCCCTCTCTCTCTTCTCATTGACTCACTGGCTGTGATTGACAGCAGTGGGAGCCAATGGCTCCCGCTTCTGTCTCAGCCAATAATAAGAAGGAGTCCGGGATAGCCGAGACTCCAGTGCACATCACTGGATTGAGAGGGGGCTTAGGTAAGTATTAGGGGGGACTGAAGGTGCTGCTGCACACAGAAGGTTTTTTACTTTATGCATAAAAAGCATGAAGATAAAAAAACCTTGAGCCTTTAGAACCAATTTAACCTCCCTAGCGGTATGATTCTTTCTGATTTTTTGTGCTGAAAGTGGTACCTTTTTTTGCATGGAAATATGTAGTTTTTTATTGTAGGCTGTAATTTTTTAGGAATAACTCACTGAAATCTGTCCGAACAAGAGTCTATTAAACATTCTGGATATGATAAAATTTGAAACATTGAATCATAAATTATAATTTAATAAATAATCATAAAAAATAATACTATAATAATAATAAATTTAATTCAATAATATAATCAAACCAAAAACACTGAAATTTGAAATACAGAGGCAAATTCGCACATCGCTGAGCAAAGTCACAAAATCGTTTGCAGTGTCTGATGACGAATTTCCCCACAAATCATCATGCACTCAATTCTGCAAGTGGTTCTGATTTACTATCGCTGTTCTAAAACCGCTTTTGACGTAAAGGGACGCTTTTTGGACGCCATGGATTTTTTCTAAGTTTCCAGGCAGAAAGAACAGTCAAAATGCAGGCAGGGCGCCGGACAAAGCAGTAGGGACAAAATGTGTGAAATGCATTGAAATAGCAATGACAGCAAAAATGAAATTTTTAAAAAAATTCAAATTTCCCACCGGCGCCCGGGGTCCCGACATAAGAACACAGGAGCCGGATGCCGGCATCGGCCAGAGGAGATGGCCGGGGACGCTGGAGGGGACACATCGTACCAGTGAAGGACAAGGTAAGTGCTGCAGGGACCCCCAGAACAGCGCCGCATGGTAACCCCGAGTGTAGTTGGGGTTACCGCTTTTGGTATAGAAATTTTACCCCGACTACACTCAGGGAACACCGCTAAGGAGGTTAAGGTGTTTATCTTAATGCATTCTCTGCACTAAGGTAAAAGACCTTCCATGGTCAGCTCCCTCCCAGCCCCCCTATATACTTACCTAAGCCTGATCTTGATCCAGCACTGTGCCAAAGAGCAGCAGCACTGCTTTCTTTCTCTCCTCAGCAGACATGGAGTTAGCAGCAGGAGCCATAGGCTCCTGCTTCTGTCAAACAAATCCTGGGAGAAGATGGAAGGGGACAGGGCCAAGCTGTACTGTGTGTGTCAATAGATGCACATAGCCTGGCTTGGGGTCAAGCCCTGCATGCACTTGCTATGGGGCACTCAGAGAAAAGAAAAGAGAAAAGGATACTGGAGCACAGGCAGGGAACCCCAGAATAAGAGGTTTGAGGCTGCTTTGTGAAAAAACCATTGCACTAGAGCAGGTAAGCAAACATGATTTTTTAAAAAATATATGTGACTTTAAAAGCACTTTAAATTGTGTATTGAAAATTTGTATAGACTTGTTGCTCTTATTTTTACAGAATGTATGAGAGTGTTTATTCGTTTGAAATTGTAAAAACTATTTTAAAAAATGTCACCCATCCATAGTTGAAGGAAGGCATCTGCTAGAATTGTTGCAGATGTTGCCAGAGATGTCAACAAAAATGATGAATACAAATATGATAAATAAAAAAAATAGAGTTCTAGTTCTTTTCCTATATTTTTGTTGAAAGTCTATACCAGGGGTCTCCAAACTTTCTAATCAAAGGGCCAGGTTACTGTCCTTCAGACTTTAGGGGGGGCTGGATTGTGGTCAGTTGGACAGAAGATGCCCCATCATTGGTACCAGTGGGAGGAATAGTACCCATCATTGGTGTCATTGGAAGGGAAAATGCCCCATTGTTGTGTCAGTGAGAGAAATGGTTCCCCACTGTTGTCAGTGGAAGGAATGGTGCCTCCTTGTTGGTGTTAGTGGGATAAATAGTGCCCCAAGGGCCAGATAAAGACAATTATAAATACAGTACATTAGACACAGTTTCCCCAAGAAAATAACACTTGTATATGCAGTGATTCACTAATTAAATTATTAGGTTTGATCTAATTAATGTTGAAAGCTTCACTCTATCCTGAATTGTAGCATAAACATAAAAACAATTTATATAAAAAGTGAATTTCACCTTAAAGTGTTGTGCAGTATACATCCAGACCTTCGATTTGATTTACTGACCTTGAAGAGATTGTTAACATAGCAAAGTGAGTGTTCACTGAGTTTAGTAAAGAAGATGAATCTGAGTCAACCAATCATGCGCCAGCAAAAATCCTGTTTCTCTCATTACTGGAGGTTTATATTGAAAAAGGTTCACCGTATTTTATATCATTCGCTAGCAAACATACATTTTTTAAAGTGAACCTTGGTTCCTTTAGTAAACCATCCTCATTGTGTTTTTCTTTAGAAATCCTTCACATATTACAATCTCCTGGTTTTCAGTACAATATTGTTACCTCTTTTCAACTATTGTAAGCCTTTCTTAGATGAAGAAAATAATACAAGTACAGAATGATCTGCAAAGCTTCTTATTCCTTGTAAACTGTGTATGTGCTTTGGCAGAAAGCTACAATAAAGTATATGAGAAGGCATAAATCACAAATAAAACCCACTTGTTCCTTTATGCCAGCTGATAAAGAGATAAAGACCTTAAAGTGACTATTAAGTAGAATTTTTTTTTTATAAAATAACAAAGATGTGATACTTACCTGCTCTGTACACCGGTTTTGCACAGAACAGTGAACATCCTCTTCTGGGGTCCCCCACCAGTGCTCTTGGCTCCTCCTATTCTTTGTGTGCCCCCATAGCAAGCTACATGCTCTATGGGCATGTGTGTGTGCTCGCCCATGAGTTGTGTGTGTCTATGGAGCCATGCTCCATAGACATTCACATCATGGCTTGGTCCCCGCCCCCTCAGGCCCTCCTTACAGCATTTGCTGCCCAGGTCCCTGTGAGAAGAGGAAGAGAGAGGAGAGAAGAAAGCAGCCGGGCACAGCGCTGGATCCCTGCCAGGTTCAGGTAAGTGATACATGATTTTGCATTTCAAGGTAGGGGGCTTGCAGGAGCCCTACCCACGCTGTCATTTGCGGCTGCAGCTGCCAATCACCGGGTCCCAGCCGGTGATTAGTCGCTGGCGCCTGGCGATTACTGAGGATCTCTAACAGGGAGGAGAACTGTTTGTTTACTAACAGTTCTCCTCCCTGTCAGCTCAGACACACTGCTTTGGATGGCTGTGCACAGTGAAGCACACAGTCACTGCCCCATAGTAAAACACACCCATCACACAGTTAACCCTTTGATCGGCCCTCATGTTAACTCCTTCCTGCCCAGTGCCATTAGTACAGTGTCAGTGCTTTTTTTTTAGCACTGATCACTGTATTGGTGTCACTGGGGATGTCATTGACACCAAGTCCGTTCCCCCCAGTTTCAGAATGCCTGACGCAGTCCTGCTATAAGTCGCTGATTGCCGTCATTACCAGTAAAAATGAAAAAAAAAATTAAAAAATCCAGTATATATACCACCATTTGTAAATGCTATAACTTTTACGTAAACCCATTAATTTACATGTATTGGGATTTCCTTTAGCAAAGACATGTAGCACAATACATTTTGGCCTAAATTTATGACGAAATTTGATTTTTAATTTTTTTTTTTTACTGGACATGTTTAATTGCAAAAAGTCGAAAATATATTTTTTTCTCAAAATTGTCGGCCTTTTTTTTTTATAGCGCAAAAATAAAAACGCACAGGTGATCAATTACCACCAAAACAAAGCTGTATTCGTGGGAAAAAAGGACGTAAATTTAATTTGGGTGCAGCGTTGCATGACCGCGCAATTGTCAGTTAAAGTAACGCAGCGCTGTAACGCAAAAAATGGGGGTAAATCCTCAGGGGGGTAAGTGGTTAAGTTAAAAAAAACATAACCTTTAGAACATCTTTAAAGTGTATGCAAAGCCAAAACGTTTTATTTTAGTTTTGGATAGAGTTGGAAATAGTTAAATCACCTGTAATTTTTTTCTGTCCAGTACCATTAGGGAGATTCCTTATCACTTCCTGTCCTACAGACACAGCAGGAAGTAGGGGGCATTGTCTGCAAAGCAAAGTGATACCCCCTCTTAGGGCCTGTTCACACCAACCAGTGTCCGACACAAGGCACTGTTCAGCAGTTTTTTAACTTTGTTGAAATATCACGAAATGCCACTAGCATGTCTATGCACCACAGCACGTTGTGATGCACTGTAGTGCGGTTACCTGCAGAGTGGGGATTTGTGCATTGTGGTGTGAACAGGGCGCCATTGTTTTCTATGTGTCCTTTTGTTAAGCTGGCATTGATCTACACCCTGTTCCAAATTATTATGCAAATGCTATTTTTCTCATTTACCTAAATAATTGATGTAAATAACAGTCAGTATAATTCTCATGTTACCAACTATTAAGAGTACAATTCACGTTTTATTGAACAAACCTCCTAATGATAACAGGATTTTTTTTTAAACATAAAAAACTTACAATGCACTGTTCCAAATTATTACACACAGTAAGTTTCAAAACGTTTTATAGGTTGTAAAGAACTGAAAATTGTCATTTGTTGTGTTTGCAGCATATTTACTGAAATCAAAAGCTATTTCAATCAAACTTTTAACAACATTTTAACTTTTTAAACGTTTTAAGGGTCACGTTATATTTTAACATAGGACCCCTTATTTGATAGCAGCTTCACAAGTCTTGCATCCATTGAACCTGTGAGTTTTTGACATTTTCTGCTTGAATTTGTTTGCAAGATGTCAGAATAACCTCCCAGAGCTGCTGTTTGGATGTAAACTGCCTCCCACCCTCATAGTTCTTTTGCTTGAGGATGCTCCAAAGGTTTTCAATAGGATTGAGGTCAGGGGAGGATGGAGTCCACACCATGAACTTTCTCTCCTTTTATCCTCATAGCAGCCATTGATGCAGAGGTATTCTTTGCAACATGAGATGGTGCATTGTCATGCACGAAGATGATTTTATACGGAAAGCATAGTTCTTCCTTCTGTACAGGGAAGAAAGTGGTCAGTCATAAACTCCACATACTTTGCAGAGTCATCTTTACACCTTTGGGGACCCTAAAGGGGCCGACCAGCTCTGTTCCCATGATTCCAGCCTAAAAACATAACTCCACCACCGCCTTGCTGACATCGCAGCTTTGTTGGAATCAGGGTGGGCGTACTCACCAACCATCCACTACTCCATCCATCTGGACCATCCAGGGTTGCACGGCCCTCATCAGTGAACAGGACTGTTTGAAAATTATTCATGTATTTTTCTGCCCAATGCAGCCGTTTCTGCTTGTGAGCATTGGTTAGTGGTGGCCGAATAGAAGGTTTATGCACAGTTGCAAGACTCTGGAGGACTCTACACCTTGATGTCGTGGGACTCCAGAGGCACCAGCAGCTTCAAATATCTGTTTGCTGCTATGTAATGGTATTTTAGCAGCTGTTCTCTTGATCCAATGCATGGATCTGGCAGAAATCTTCCTCAATGTGCCTTTATCTGCACGAACCCGTCTGTGCTCTGAATTAGCCACAAATCTCTTCATAGTGCGATGATCACGCTTAAGTTTTCGTGAAATATCTAATGTTTTCATACCTCGTCCAAGGCATTGAACTATTTCACTCTTTTCAGCAGCAGAGAGATCCTTTTTCTTCCCCATATTGCTTGAAAATGTTGCTCTGCTTAATAATGTGGAACACCCTCCATTAGTAGTTTTTCCTTAAGTTGGGCTCACCTGCCAATCTAATTATCACAGGTGTCCGAGATTGTTTTCAGTGATCAAAAGAGCCCTGACACACAATGCCATCCATGAGGTAAACTGAAAAACAAAATATTTAATCTTTGTGACACTTAAATATAATTTGCATAATAATTTGGAACAGGGTGTATGTAGATCAATGCAGTTCTACTGAGACTGTTAGACAAGACAGTTGACACTTTTACACAATTCTCCAGGAGCAAAAGAGTGTATCTTCCCTGCAGGGTGTATAATAAAAACATAATAAACTGATTTTTCACACTTATCATTTCTTTTTTTATGTTACAGGGGAGAGTACAGCACCTGGATTTTGGAGAGGCCTTGCCCTATTGTCCTAGAAGTGAACTTTAGAATTGCTGTTGCAGACTGGTATGTACAAGTACTTTGTTTACTGTAGTGTAGTAGACCATTTTTACAGTGGCTTAGAAAGCTTTTGCTTTTTGTTTCGAGTACATATGTTGCTTTATGTATGCAAGTAGTTTTTAAGAGCAATGCCTGGGAACTCAGAATTGATTTATCCTTTTGTATGCACTAAGTCATTTATATGCGTATCTTTCATGTATGCTAACATGTTTTTCCAAAATCCATAAAACATTTTTGATCAGTCCTTGACCCCAAAGGAACCTACAAGCTGACATCTCTACCACAGCCATAAAAGACACAAAAGCCATATTCTGAAGTTAAAGGGTATATACACCTAAGCAATGAGCTTTTTTAATTTGATTTGTTTAAACATAGCTAAAACCTTTTTTATATATGTTCAGTAAGTGCCAAAAAGAGTTATTTTGGAAAACCCTGTCAGCTGATAACTTCCTGTGTTCTCTGCCAATGCTGTACTCTTGTCAGTTACATTGTTTTCGGCTATCTCTTGAGGACTATAGAACCCCTTCCTTCTATGGTATGGAAAAGAGAAGAGGGAGAGGTTATTGTAGTCCTGTCCTAGGGTGGCAATCTGCTTCCCCATGGATGCAGTATGGTGAGTGAGTGTTTTCAACCCTATGACATAAAGTGTGTTGATGGCATGATCACCCAATAAAAATAAAGTAAAAAAGAAAACTAATGCAGCAACCACATTGGTAAGCTATATACACAGCGGAGAAATATGTGTGCATTGTTACAGAATCTCCCATGTCAAACACCAGAGTCAGGTCCTGGACCTCTCTTCAGACTATGTTGCATACTAGAAGTACAGCTTGATTCATGACCTGCCAGTGAAGTCATTCCCATTCTCTCCTCATCTTAAAATTGAACTTCAGTGAGAAAATGATGTCCTGCTAGATCACTTCAGGCTGGCCACATTTGCATGTTAGCTATGTAAAACATATACTGCCTATACTGTTTAAAATAAATGAATACACTGTCTCACCCTGCTCTGCACATGCTCTGTTCTTAGGCATTGTCCTGAATTTGCAGAGGCCAATCTGCAGACAGCCTAAAGATTTACTGCTGCTCAGTTGCTCTGGGTTTCAACAAAATAGCAGCCTCCAGCAAGAAGAAACAGGATCAATGCTGGAGACCAATTACAACACATATTAATTTTGGTAGCATAATTATTAATGTGGAATACATGTTCCTTGCTAAAGAACATAATTTTTTATCAGGTTGTTATGGGTAGTTCAGCTTTATTTTTTTTTGCACATTTAAGTTTGACACAAGGCAGCAAGCATGATAGCTAACAGAAATGTTTCCAGATACAAAGGCAGTGCAACATCTGGATATACAAGGCAAAGAACAAAACAGAACATCCACAGTATGACCATCAGGGCCAATATACCAATCCCGAAAGCACATCTTTAGAAAAAGGAAAACAATAAAGCCCAGCAATGATATCACCATAAAAGGTCACCATACATATCCTGAACCACCGGAACTCTGTATCCACGAAACATGGAACTGTAAGTCCCTGGGGGGATAGTGGTACTGTCTCACAGCCATTTTTTGTATAATGTTGAATTAAAACAAATAGCAATAAGCAAAATGAGTAAAAAGTAACTAGAAAAGAGGGAAGCAAGAAAAAATAAAAGGAAGGGAGGGGAGGGGGGAAGTATGGGGGCAGGAGGGAAGAAAGGGGGGGGAGAAGGTTCTGATCTGGGGGGGGTAAAATGAATACTCTTCAGTCAGCAGGGCCTGGTTTAAAGAGAGCTTTACCCTCTTCAGAATAGACAAACATATTTCACAAACCCCACATCTTGGAGTATATCTTCTTTGTTGTGAGGCCAGGAACAGATCCTCCATCTGGTTCAGTTCTTCCACTTTCATGAGCCATAGTCGGATGGATGGAAGGCTTGTACTTTTCCATTTGAGGGGAATACAAGATTTGGCAGTGTTAAGAAGGCAAAGGATCAATTTTTTTGTATACTTTGGCAGAGATACTGGAGGCATGTAGAAGGAAGAAGGCCGGGTCATCCGGCACCACATAGTCAGTGAATTTTTGGGTCAAGCGGCGAACCTCAGTCCAAAAACCAGTCAGCTTAGGACAGGACCACAAAATGTGTAACAATGTGCCTCTCTCTCCCGTCGGCAGCGCCAACATTTATCAGTTGTGCTCGGGAAAAGTCTATGCAAGAGGACCAGGGTACGGTACCATCTAGTGAGAATCTGAAAATTTGTTTCTTGAAACTTTGTACATACGGAAGATTTCAATGCAAAACTAATTACGTTTGTCC